GCTCCCCTTCAGAAAGAAAATATAACTTCATAGTAGGTTAAGACAAGTCTAATATAGCATTTTGTCTTGACCTATATTACATCCCATGGACAAAAAACAGTAACACAGGTTTCAATTTTTCAAAGTACATTTAGATGCACCTCTCTGATCTTACCAAATACTCTGAAAAAAGCATTAATTTCCATACAGACAACTGTTCAGTCTCCTTTCATCCTCCAGAAGTAATCATTAGTGGAGGGGGGATGTAGCATGGAGTGGAGTTAAGGTGAAGATTTTAAATTTGTTTTCATAGTTTTTCTGAAGTCACTATCATGACTGACTGACTGCTATAAATATAAACATTGCTAATGTAGCTGATCCTTTATATTGTGTTTGTGAGTGGTTTACTAGAAAGAACTATATGCAAAACTTGCTAAGTTATGCCACACAAGAGCTACACACACGCACACAAAACAGGATGAAAAAATAGTGAATTATTACCTTATTAAACCAAAATTAAATGAAACACTAAACAGATTTTTTTGGTTTAAACTTCTATAAGATGTTTCACTTCACAAAACTGTATGACTTTTGTTCATCATTCCAGTTACAACAAAATGGCGTATTTTTCTGTCTGTAGTTCTTTGTAAAACAAAAAAAATAAGGTCTACAGAACGATAAGACCTGCAAACATTCTTTATGGTATAAGTATTTTAAATCAGTTATTTTCCCTAGACCTATATACATTGCAATACAGGTCTTCAGTGTTGAAGTACATAAAACAATTCACCTTGGGGCCCATTGAAACAAAGCGATGTAAAATCAGATCTCGGTTAAAATCATTGACCTGTTTTTTTGTTTTGTTTTTCTATACAGGTCAGGCTAAGACTTGAAAGTCTTTGTTGCAACATTGTAGTTCTTAAGTAGGATTCTACTTTCTTTATCGAAGAAAAGGAGCTTTCACAACTCACACTTGTAAGCGGAAATGTCAATGTTAGCCTAAATAATTTCCAGAGATTTGGAAAGCTGACTGCACTGACGAAACTCCCAATATTTGTAAATGAGAGGGCACTGCCCGCATGTCTAGAAATGGTTGCTTGTGCAACTGTTACTTCTGCCTTTAGAAGGCTCTTATCTATAGAAAGGGTACCATCATATTTGACTGCCCAGGAAATTACTAGAAGCTGGGTTTAATGCTTGCATATCTTAACTTTACGAAGTTCTTGGAAAAAATTAACATTATAGTAAATTAAAAAATGAATATTCATAGTAATACATAAATATATAATAACATTCGGACTACGGATGTGAATATTTATAACATTAAGTTATATAGCAATGAAACAGAATAAACAAAAAAAGTTTAAAATAATTAACATCGGACAGAAAACAAGTTATAAATATAAATTAGTCTTGTTCTCATTGCAGTTAGTTAGGCCTAAGATTTTTATATCATCAGCATGATTATGCCCCTGTTAATATCCTGAATTCCCAGTTTGCTCCTGAAGAAGAAAGGTCCACCTTTCGAAAGCGATCGATTATAGGGTTTTTATTCATGTCTGAACGTAAATAAATAGGCATACTAGTTGGAACATCAGTTAGGCTAGACTCCATTAACTTTGTGTAATTCTTGGAAAAGTTAATACCAAAGTAAATAAAAAATGATAATATTAATAGTAATATATAAAATAAAATTCGGTCTGCAGATGTGAATATTTGTAATCTTAAATAAAAAACAATGAAAGAGAATAAACAACAAAAAAAGTTGTCTCTTATAAGATAAAAACATAAACTATAAACGTGTTGTATTTTACAAACTAATTTTACATAAACTTTGTTTCAAGTGCAGGATTTGAACTTTTAAGCTTACTTGCAAATTACTCTAAAAACTACTTACGAAAACACAGCTCCCCCACAGATTTTTTAAGTGGCTCATTAGATGAAACAGAATAAATCAGAATATTTGTAATCTTAAATTAAATAAAAATGAAATAATAAAAAGTTATGCCTCCTATAAGAGAGAAATGTAAACTGATTAATTAATAAACACAAAAATTGAAAAGGTCAGTTGAAAAAATAAATTTCTATGGGTCTTTCAGTCTAACAAAACTTAACAAACACTCTAAAACTCACTTGTAAATACTAAAAGACCGAAGTACTTCACGAAAACTCATTGACAAATTCTTTTATATATCTCGAAACATTCTTTAAACAACTCGCTTTCTAACTAACTTAAAGGGGCTTGACAAAATTAATTATAATCTACGCTTGGTCTAGATATTTCTAAGACTTGCATGATCTTAATGTCATGCATCCTCTAGCTAACATCTAAATGAAACAAATTACAACATTAATAAATAAACTTAGTATTCCGAAAATTGTTTAATTTCGAGGTCTAAGTTCAAGGGAGGTCCAGTTCAATCAACATTTTGATCAACGTATGTTATTGGGTTATACTAGTGCGGTTATATAATGTGAAGAACTGAATAGTAGCCAATGACACTTTTTCTTCACTTCAACTATCCAGTGTAAGGGGTTTTCTGATAGTGACTACAAAGCGCATTCACACCAACAGTATGTTTGAAATTACAACATTATAAATATAGCTTATGATACTGCCCATTCCTAGATTGTAATGTTCCTTGAACAATGCTAATGTACCAAAAGAATACCACACTAAATTGTTCATTCACTAAGTTTTTTTTCTCTTCCAAAATATATAGATGGAATGGCGTCTTGTTCCTTGTTTTCAGTGGCTGTCCTGTCCAATGTAAGTGTTTTTCGTTGGTAGGTGGTCGAGTGAATCCACTGACAGCCCCATCCTTAATGATTCTCTGTAAGTCATATCTATATAAATTCTGGGATTCTCCACAGGTTGGGGTTTCACTAACAAACTCTACTCTGGAAGTTACCCAGTTAGCCATTCTCTGAGAGTCTGCTCTCTCTCGCGACGAGAACTGTTCAGCCATATCATTCACTTCAGTGGAATCCAGTTTTATGTGCAATTCAACATAGCTACCTGTTGTTTTATCACAAGCTGATTTAAGTCTTTTCTGGGTAAAATCAGGTATGACATCTTTATTATTCACATCCAGGAAAGCTCTTCCAATCACCAATCTCTCACACTGGAGGATTTGGTTCCATTATGCCCCATTTACTAACTGAATAATTATTGCTTTTTACTCCTAATATGAGTTTCATTTCACGAGGAGTGTTTGTGTAACACATTTGTGCAAGCCTCACCAAA